TATGTCATTGCATCAGAGGAAATACTGGATCCCAAACTGGTGTTACGGAGAAAAATCTTCCCTGTTGAAATTAGGATGTTTTTTTAATTTCAATGGTCTCTCGCAGCATCCTAGGTAGATAACGGACTTCTTTTGCAGGGACCTGGGGTTTGTCAAGCTTAATTGAATATGTAGGTTTATCCATGACATGCTCGCAGACTGCAGACTTGTTTACGAAACGTTGCCTTGTTCGAAAAAAACAAATATACAATTACATCCGGAAAAATATTTTCATTTCCTATAAGTTACTGTGGCCAGTATGTATGTATCTCAGTTTTCTAATCCTTGACTTGAATGAGAGCCCTGTTTAGTATTCTTGCAGAGGTTTATCATTTCTTGACGTATTAGGAACTTAGTTAGCGTCATAGGTGCACGTTAATATTTGTGCAATATTCACAAACAATTTTCCTCACATTTTTGTGTTTCTTCGTTATGAAATGCACATAAGAAAATTTTGACATAAGCAGTATAAATTTACTAGAGAAATGTAGTCCTCTCGCTTCGGGAGTTTAGTAAGGAGTAATGACGGAACAAACCAGCGTATGAATAATGTAGGAAAAGGAATTCGAAAACGATTCAAAATTTTAAAACAGGAAAGGTAAAGAGAGTGATAAAAAGGTGGGATGAGGTCGCATCGTCACTGTAGTTACAGTAACGTTCCTTTCCTGTACGTCGGGGGCGCACTGGGCAACAATTGGCAAGTCCTTTCACCATGACTGCAAGCAGCTTATTCGTATGCCATCAATAGAAGAATACTTACACCGGTGAAATATTAAATATGGAATTCATAGCCACTAAGAGTTCTACCTTATTTTTTTGTTTTTAGGGTCTAATATAAAGAATGCACTAACTGACGCCTAACATACAAGTATTCATTACCTTTGTTTAGGCCTTGAAACTACACTATTAGATTTATAAGATTTGGTTATATTAAATGATTGTATAATAATTTCAAAGTACAATGCGAAAAACGCTAAACGCCCTATGCAAATTAAAATGTATTTAATAATATGTTTCCCCAAGCAAGTATGATCTCAGTTTTATATGAAAAATGCAACCGAGACTTTTAAAAGTATTTTAAAATTTATCTAGACGCCCTAGTTATTATAAAGAATACATAGCGCTAAATTTGAATGCGATATTTTCATTCTAATGTACACTGAGCGTTTACGTGATCATAGAAACAATATTGTCTAGGCCTGAATCACTTTAAATATTATGGACATTTGTGTGTACACGAGACCTAAGAAGGTTGAAGTAGTTTTCTTTACATTTAAATTAAGTTACGATGAAATAATATACATCTTTACCTGTATTATTAACGTAAAGTAATCTTGAATATTTCCTTCATTACAACTTTTTAAGTGGGCTGTAACTTTAACAAAAAAATAACATAATACCCGGTGGTACTGTAATTGACACGAAATGGGGGAGAGTGAAATAAAACCGAGGCGTCTGTCTGATACAGACTACATATCCGTAGATCCAACGCCAACGGTTGAACTTACTGAAGGCTGTATTAACTCACGTTTCTAAACATCTAACATGTGTTATTCTTTTATACAATGTACTTATAAACGTTACCTATATTATAAAGAATCTAGTTTTTCTGTATAATTTTTTGAAAGTCTTAAAGGGAATTCGCAATTAATTTGAAAATTTACAAGAAACAATTTTAAATTCCCCAGCGTTTTTAGTTGCTCGGCTTGAAATAAATAGGTCTATCAAAAATATTTATACATGTTAATTTGACTTTCCAATATTGAAACTATATTTATAATAACCGCGTGTTGGAAATTTATATATGGTGGGTCCTTTGAAAAATCTGATAATATAATAACATCAATTAAAGTCCTTTTGACCGAAATCAGAACTAAACCTAAACCTACAACTCGAATGTAAACAATTTTTCTAAACTTTTGGGTAATGTTGTGATAAAGTTATGTTTTCCAAATGATAAAGCATTAAAAGCGATGTTCTACATGAGTGAATTCTATACATGGTATAAAATCGTGTTGCAAAGACGATCTATTTACAGTAATAAGAATTGGTTAGACTGTGATAAGACCATAAAAAAGATTAGTATTGTAACTCACGACTGTTCGGCGAATTTAATGTCTACTCGTCCCTCGCAGCATAGGGTTGTCACATTGTTATCTTAGTTATACCTACATATTGCAAAAAAATATTTGAAACATTTATTTCGAGTATAAATCGCGTATTTTTCAAAATGTGAATAAATCTGAAAAAATAGTTTCATTTCCTCTGTGTAACAATCGAAAAACCTAAGAACTAGATATAATTAAATAAATACAGTATATCACAGTAATATAGTGCCATATTTAAATAACCTTCATCAAATGCAGTACTTACTTATTGATATTTCTACCAGTATCGCTGATTAGTATCTCGACTATGGCAGAAGGATCATGAAATGAAATAAAATGATGATATTTATACAGGGTGTAAATTTGAGACGGAGCAACAAGGCCAGCCACCTGAATCGATGTAGTTACAGGAAAACGGTTCTAGAAGACTATCCATGAATTTTGAAGATATTTTGATTGGCATTCACAGATTTTCAGAGAATGGTACAGTCAGCAAGATAAAAGGCAATTTATACAAAACTTTTTTTTATGCCATTCGATCCAGTCTCTGGTAAGGATCAATAGTCTCTATGGGACCAACTGAGGTAAGACTACTCAAAATGTCAGAATCGCATAAAACTTTTTACCATGCATTTTATAGGGACATATTTAGTAATCAGTTTTATTCTAGGTAGTAGAGACCAGATCGAATATATACAGTATATACCATTTTTTGAAAATCTGTGAATGCCAATCAAAATGTCTTCAAAATTCATAGATAGTCTTTTCGAACCGTTTTCCTGTAACTACAACGATTAAGGTAACTGGCCTTGCTGCCACGTCTCAAATTTACACCCTTATAATATAAAAAATATATACATAACGATACATTTATAAATAAAAAAATATAAATTTGACAACCATGATTAAAATACTGACTGAAAGGTTATCTAAAAATAACTGTGCTTAATTTAATTTTATTATTATATCAATTATAATTTAATCATAATTAACAATATTTTCCAGACGTTTTACGAATATACCATTAAGTTTTCAATTAACAATATGCAAGTACAGTTCCTCAAAGTTATTTGTCGTACGATGATTTAAGAAAATGTAAACGAGTAAGTTCTAAGCGGCAAAATAATGTTTTTTATTTCATTACACTGTCTTGTAACTAGCAATATGACGTGTAGCAAAGTCAGGAGGCATTTTTACCATACAGCCCTAGGGCGGTAAAGATCTTTTTTAATTTTTACGTTCTCCAAAAAGCAGTGGACTTTTTGATTTTATTTATTGAAAATAATACAAATACAGTTCATTTTTATTCGTTGGTACCATGGAAACACAAATTTAAAATATTATTTGTTTCATAAAATTGAAACAAAAAGCTTTCATGCTTAATAAAAATGTTATTCTTTACACAGGTGCAATCGTTAAGTATGTCCAGGCGATTATTAGAACAACTGATATCGAAAGTACGTTACATAATGAGTAAAATAACATCAATCACTTTTACAATTAACTTCTTGAAAATAAAACTAGAACATCCAAAATTTTTACGCTCTTGTACATTTAATACAACATTCGTAAAAACACTTCGGTATTAAACAACTGCAATGAATGCAATATTTTGTACTTACATAAAATAAACATCACTGCTTTTCTTCTATTAAAATATAATTTTATTGCTTTATTTATTGCAGTTTTGTTATCTGTAAATTTATTGTTACCTCAAAAACTAGTATTTCTACGAATGTCATATTAAATGTATGGAAAAATTTAGAGTTAAAATATTGGATATTTCTTGTTTTATTAAAAATAAAGTTATCGATGTCATTTTGCTCATTAGGTAACGTACTTTCGATATCAGTTTAAACTTTTTTGATTTCTCTTATATTTACGGAATAATCGCACATTTAACGATTACACACTGTATAACATTTTTATGAGATACATGACATTTGTAAATAAATATAATATGAATGAACTGTAAGGTTTTTAGTCTAACTTTACTTTTTTTTTAACTTCCTCAGAAGAGCGATGAAAAACATTGTATGCCACACGGGCGGTTACAAACTTTCAGGCCACTGAAAGGCCAAAGGATTTGAATGTCCATCTGTTCATAATTACCTACTTACCGACTTGTAACGCAATGTACTATTAATATTTTCTTAACTTTTGAATAATATTTCAATAATTTGTTTCCGTTACACCCAAACTTATATTTACCATAGGAAATGAAACTATTTTTCCGGATTTAAATCGCGTATATTTGTTTTTTCAAACAAACCGTGTCAACCGTGACCATGGGATCTGTAAAGGGCCCGAAACGTCGGTTCGTTTGAAAAAACAAATATACGCGATTTAAATCCGGAAAAATAGTTTCATTTCCTATGTGTAACAATCGTGAAAACCTAAGAACTCGTTATATTTACCATTTGGTTTAAGTAATTTGTTTGCGTTGGCGTTCAAGCCGTATTGTTTCCATCCGATTTATTTACTTTTCAAATCAAATTTTCGCAGAAATTAAGCCAAAGTGGGCAATGTTATAGAATAGTAGTCGTTCATATTTATAAGTATGGAGTATTATTTGTTATTTTAACAAAGATTTTATTCGAGCTTTATAATCCGCCACAGGCAAGAAATTTGCCTTACAGAATTTTTATCATCCATACTTCGTTTCATAATGGAGAGGCATCGATTGTTAAACCTATAATCTATTTTAAATTCCTATTTTGTGTAGAGTTGTGAACTGTGGATAATTTACATCCTAAGAAGCAGGCGGCCATGCATTTAAGTATTACTAAATTCTTAAGTAATAGGTTATATAAATACAAATACAGAGCTTAGAAATTATTTTTTGTTTGACAGTCGAAAAGGAGAATGAAGACCTCGGCTACATACAGCAGTATGTTGATGGTGGGCACCCTTGCGCTGTTGCTTTGCGCAGTCGTCGCTGCGCCGATGGTAAGATTTATTATAATTGTTTTATTTGGTAGATTAGCATGTTTTTTTCATATCAAGTTTTAAGATATCCTTAAAAAAGCCATGTTCGATGTCAACATTGCTTCAAATAAAAGAACATTTATGAAAATGGTAATTTAAAAATAGGATGTGAATTATGTCACCTTATCATAACTAATGTAATCAATATTTTTAACTATAAGCATATCTGAGATCAGCAAAACTTGATCTACGTCCCCCTCTTATTAGTTTTTTTATATCTTATTTAGTTTAAGTTTTATTCATATATCAGCGAGAATCAGCGAGACCTTATTATGAGATCATGTTCAAAATGATAGTAAATGTCTACATATGAAGTACTCGTACATTCATTTCCGCATTAACAAAACAATTATTTAAATAGCATATCGTTTCACAGACCCTTGTATTTTGCACACTTTCTTGTTTCACAATTTCTGCAATAAAACCATTTGTCAATTGGGTTTCATAATAGTATCAAAACAATTTACTTTCCACTCAACTGTGAAAAACAAGACACATAAATTATTTTCATATTTATTCTTACTACACAAGTGCATAAAGGAGTTTTAAGGAAGGGCTTTTGGAAGGAAGCAATTAGTGTTTCATAGCGGGATACCGGACTCCTACCAGGGAACGCAATGCTCTATGCCTAATGCTAATGCCCCGTACACATAGTTTGTTTTCGACCTACTCTTTTCAATTATACACTCGTGCTTATTTCAGCAGCTTATGCAAATTATTTCATTGTTGTGGTCATGAAATAAATAAATAAAATTTATTCGTGTTTCTACATGTACTTCGTACGGTACGATTGTCACTAAAAAATCGTCAACAAACTCGCTCGATGACATTCGAAAAACATAATTTTCTCTTCGCGTTTTACTCTCATAACCAAATTTATTATTTGTCAGCGTGCATAGGGTTCGATCTGGACACGTTCCTTTAACAAATTTTTGTATCTGATGCGGATTCCTGAGGATGTTCATCATTTGCTCCTGGAGTGTGTTCGGCGGAACCTCTCAGGACGCAGTTATTTGCACAGGTTGGTTTCCATACCTACATTTAATGTTGGGTGGTTTCAGTCTGTTTTGTCGGAGTCAACATGTAGTGCCGCGAAGATTTTGTGTAAATGTTTGATTAGGTAGTATTTTGATATATCTGTCTGGATTTTATTAAGTGTTTTCTTGAGGTATTGTTTTTCTAATGGGACTGACATACTGAATGATGATCAAAACCCCTAAATAAATAAAGAATAAAAAAATATTTCCTTTACGGCGGCCACTAGGCTAATGCCAGTGTTAGTTTTTTGAGAATAATATAACAATTATGACGAGCATCGCCAGTGTCAGTGAATAAAATTAGAAATCTCTCTCGACACGAGTTGAGTTTAAGCCAAATTTCAACTTTTCAAAATTTCAACAACGTACACTAAAGCGATTTCATGTGTTCAGTTTTTTAATTAACTAAGGTTCCAAGGACTTCAAACGCGTTTTCTTTAGTCTTAATTAATATTCTTATACTAAACATAAAGACAAAGGAATTTGAGGTATTTTCATTCCATCTACTCAGAAAAACGTCACTGACTTCGAAAGAGGAACTTATAACGGATTTTAATTTCTAGGGACCAGTGACAGTTGAATTTTTAGCATGAATTTTGAAACCAATTTTTAATAATACAGCGCTATCATAAAGATCAAAAGAAGATTGTTTGTATTCCATTTTTGAAACTCTATCGGGTTGTTATTGTAAAATCTACTCGTATAGTCTCGATCAATGATACTTATATATTCTCTCGATACAATCGTTCTTCAGTACAACGAAGGGTACAAGTGGCTATATTAGCAAACGGACGTTAAGATAGTTACTGTTCTTCCCTTCCTTTATATATGCCAGAAGATAAATGTAATGATATATGATATGAGATGATAAATGTAAGCATTAAAAAAGTTCATATATTAATATATGAACTTTTTTTTTTTTTTACACTCATAGCCCCGCACTAGGGAAACCCTGTATCGTGGGTGCCATGAACACACACATGGACAATCACAAATTACACCTAAACTCACGAGAGAAACAAATGTAGGCTATACAAATATTTCTCCCGGCCCGGAATCGAACTCAGCATCGCACCTAACGAAATTTTCATCATCAATAGACTATGTCACTCAGTTGCAATCAAAACTACTGGATGAATGTAAAAAAAATTTGGTCTCATTGAAATTAACACACTCACAGCGTTGAGAACAATAGATGGCTCTATCGTTATGTCGTTTCAAAAGTTCCATTTCCAAGATGCAAATGCATGTTGGAAGGCGACCCAAAAATTAAAAAACATTATTAAGGAAGACATCACAATGTCAACCTGTGGATCTGAAGAAGAAACCTCCACCGAAGATTTCGATTTTTGGTCACATCACAAACTCCTCGCAGTTGGCCAAAACCAGCGGCGTTTCAATTTGTTTGGCTAATCCAGTTTGCGCTTTAAAAACCAACCTATTAGAGCAATGGGAAGATTTAAAACACGTATTCCCAGCATTATATAAACAAGCGCGAATATATCTAAACATTGTCGGTACCTCTGTACCCCGCGAAATGCTGTTTTCCAAAGCGGGTGCAACATTCCCTACTTCCAGAAATAGTCTAACAGGCAAACATTTAGAAAAACTAATATTTTTGGAAAGCACTACAAAAACGGACTTTCTTCATAGAATTCTTTTTAAGACATATTTTCGTATCAATAACTTATAACTTAGAACTTACTGTTTTTATATATTTTATTCTAAATTTTACATAAACCATCGATAAGAGTAAGTATCGATACTTGTCAATCGATACCGTGCAAGTATCGATACTTTTCAATCGATACCGTGCAAGTATCGATACTTTACGACTGATACTGTATCGAGTAAAAATATCAATACTTCAGTGGTATCTTTTCATCCCTAATCTTACCTGGTGACACCTTACCTACCAGAGCGGCCATTTTATGCTAAAATTAGATAACAACAAAGCATCTGCGTACACTGCTGTCCTTAATACGTCTATTACAGACCATAACACCTTATTTTTGCCCTTACAAATAATACATTTACCCGCACAGGGCCAAACAAATTGTAAGTTTTGACTATGATTTCCTTTGAATTATATAATTACTTCCATCCAAAGGTTGTCTGGTAGAAATCGCTTAAAGCGATAAGACCGCCCATTGTACCACCGCTTATTTTTAATTTAATTGTATTGTATTTGTTTCCTTTTTTGGTGTACAATAAAGAATTTTTGTATTGTATGATGAAGCAATAAAAAACCTTAAGAACAAGCATAAAAGTAGAGTTTCAACTCTCCTTTTTAGTGACAACCCTCATGTTAAGTTAATAAGTTTTTAAATCCATTCCAAAAAGTAAACGCATTATTAAGGCGTGGATTACCCCTGGAATCTTTTTTTGCATGAAAACCGTAACAAACTGCAACTTAAGTCTCGAGCTAATGCACACGACGAGATCCTGAAAGTCACATTTAAGCGATATCTTAACTTTTGTAACAATTTAATAAAGAAACTAAAACGTAAATATGAAAGAGAACTTCTATAAAAGAACCCCCGGTCACTTTGGAAAACAATAAAATCAATAACTCATTTTAAATCAACAAAAACAGACAACCGCGAGCTGCTAAACGCGCAACAATCCCCAGGCAACTCTGTTAATCATGTAAATTCGTTCTTTGCTGGAATTGGTCGAACTTGGTAGAACTTTGGCCTAAAATATCCTAAATAAAACAACACCTATGACTGGACACTACGAGGACCAAGCTGACCCTGTCCTCATTTGCTCTGCTAGACACTGACCCTCAAGAGGTACATAACACTATTATGGGCCTGAAATCAGACAGTGCACCTGGATATGACAATATCCCTGCCAAGTACCTAAAAATGGTTAGAGCCGATGTAGCCCCTGTAATTAGTCACTTGATCAATGTATGTTTCTCTAAAGCAGTCTTCCCTGTACCATCAAGAAATCCATTGTAACGCCAGTGTATAAATAAGAGTGGTGAGAGAGACATACTCATTAACTATAGGCCTATCTCAGTTCTGCAGTAGTATCTAAAATCATAAAAAAAAAATATTATTAAGAGGTTGATAGCTTATCTAAATAAATTTGACATTCTTTCGAATTAACAGTATGGCTTTCGCCAGTGGAGATCTACTGAGGACGCCATTCTAAAGCTTACAACCACAATTACACAATTACAACAACAAAAAGAACTGCCTCTGTGGCCGAACGGTTACCATGCCGGACTGCCACGCAGAGGTTCCAGGTTCGATTCCCGGGCCGGGAGAAATATTTGTAAGACCTACATTTGTTTCTCTCGTGAGTTTGGGTGTAATTTGTGGTTGTCTATATGTGTGTCCATGGCACCCGCGATACAGGGTTTCCCTAGTGCGGGGCTATGTTGAGTGTGTGTGTTATTATTATTATTATTGTTATTATTATTATTATTATTATTACAATTATTAACTATGTGGACAAGGGCAAAAAATGTTTCGCCATATTTCTAGATTTAAAAAAGGAGTTTGACACAGTCTCTCTCCCCATTCTTGTACACAAATTAGAACGAATAGGAATAAGAGGACAGCCCCTAAAATTGCTAAGTGACTACTTACATGGTCGAACTCAGCAAGTAAAACCTGGAAAATACGTAAGTGAGGATCCAGATATCACTAACGGGGTGCCCCAAGGAAATGTTATAGGTCCAACGCTCTTTGTCAGTTACATAAACGGTTTCACTAGCCTCACTGTTGAACATGGACACATGTTATCTTATGTCGATGAAACAGTCATTGTATTTGAGGGTTCAACTTGGAAATCGGTGTTCGATATTACTGAACTGGGTCTTCATAGGGTGTCTGAGTGGCTAAAACGTAACCTTCTGACATTAAACATTGCCAAAACTAGCTATATGTGTTATATAGTTATATAAATACA